GGAGTCCTCAGGAAGCTCTAGGAGCATCCGTCAATGGAGGGTACTCAGTCGGAGTACAAGGAGCTCCGTTACAATCGTATATGCCTATACAGCGAGCTGTCTTTGTTTCGGTCATGGGTCTAATGATTCTTAGGCTTTTGCTCCTATTTATTGCCATTGTTCGTTGGTAAGCTTGTTTGAGAATTTTATTGGGTATCCCTTCTGTTCATGGTCCTTAGTTTATTAGCTTCAACTTGAAAGGTTGCTTCATTTGATCAGTTTCGTCTTGCGCAATTGAGTAGACTGTTGGTTTCTGTATCTTTTCTGAAAAGTTCAGTTTCGACTTTGCCATCCTCCAGAATTTTAATATTTAAATCTAGGAATACAAGATGTTAGGAATCCATGACATGTGTAGGTTGAAGACAGATGTTGTTCCGATTGAGCTCCTAAACTAGATTTTCAAATCTTTCGACTGATCCCAGGCAGAAGACCAGTATGTCATCAAGCCAAAGAACCGCTTCCTAGCTGGAACCGGGGACAAACCGCAGCACTTCGGCCCGCAGTGGCTTGACTCGGGTCCTCAAGCCACTCCTTCCTGGAGCCAAATGATTAGCTCTAGTCCTTATAAGGACTTTCCGATTGAAGAATTTCCTCTGCAAGCTGGAACAGCAGACGCACAAGTAAATCTTCTTTCTCTCCAATAACTGGACGACACAGTTTTGGAGTGCAAGCTGGAATTGATTTTAATGGTGCCACATTGTCATTTTATGACAATCCCCATGCAAGGATGCCCACATGGACCTTGTTGGGGACTCCAACACAAAGACATAGACCAATAACAACAGTGATTAAATGCACGACACTCCCACATACTATACAATAAGCTTTCCCCTTTACTTAGGAAATAATTGAGTAAAGCACTATACTAAACTCAATTATCTCCAAACACAAAAAACATACATTTCTAAAAGTCCAAAAGTACCCCAAAACACATAGTATCACCACAAATGTCACATCCCCTGATAGCCCTGATCAGTTCAGGGGTTCAGAAATTCCATGGAAGTAATTTATTTGACCGACCGCAAGCATTGCCCAATGCCTAAAACAGTTCCAGAGAAACAGGGCTTGCGGTCGGTGTAGTTCGGTAGTTTGAAAACAAACAAACTACTGAACAGAGTCAATAGTCTTACCCAGGAGCTTGTTCCCTTCATCCAGACAAATGATCTCACAGAACAGTGCCTTTCTAAGTCGAATAGAATCAAACGCAGACAATGATGGAAGTTCAGCGGTGTTCGGGAGTTTCTGTATCCGATTTTTGCTCCAGGAGATTCATGCCCAAACACCGCTGCCTGCATTCATGCGAACAAGATGGCCGCCACCTCGTGGTTGTCTATAGGAATTGCGGCCAACCAGACGAACAATTGCGGTGAGAAACGTTTCAAGTTGTTAATAGGTGTTAACAAGCTCAAGGTTGGTCTCTGGTTCGTAAAGTTGTTCGGTAAATGAACCATATAATTCCAATTGCACGAACAGAGATGTTTACATTACTTTACACAGGGTCCATAGTCTGTGGGCAGGAGGCTGGCAAGCAGGCTCCTCCAGAAGCTTGTGGCAAACTCAGGTAAAAAGAGTTTGTCACAATGATAAAAGCTAGTGCAACAACTATGAGAGCCAATTGAATATTCTTCTAGATATCAACCAATTTAGTGCATGTCTGGCACTATTTTTTTTTAATTATAGCAGGCTGTAGTGGTTATGGTGCTGTGCATGCACCTAACAAGTTTTGTTTGGTATAGGCACTAAAGAGTGTATTCCTCACTCTATAGTGTTAAACCATCCATCTAGCCCTTGTGGCCCCCTCTTGCCTATCTAAATATAGTAAAAATCTTACTTGTATTTAAGTCTGGAGCTGCTGATTCTGACCCTGTTTCCCTTTGAATTGAATGTGTCTGCGGACATCATCAAATGTGGTGGTCTGAGCTAATCACAATGCTTCCCCATAGGATTGGCTGAGACTGTCAAGGAGGCAGATCAGAGGCAGAGCCAGCACAAGTCAAACACAGCCCTGGCCAATCAGCATCTCATCATAGAGATGAATTGAATCAATGCATCTCTATGAAGAAATTTTAGAGTCTGCATGCACAGGGAGGAGACACTGAATGTTGTGATGTTTACTTTGCAGCTCTCACCCAGGAAGCACATCTAGCATCCATCTGTCTTTTTTTTTCTGAAAAGACAGTGTTTACTGCAAAAAGCCTGAAGGTTAGGATTCTACTCACCTGAACAAATACAATAAGCTGTAGTTGTCCTGGTGATCATTTAAGAGGCTTTCCCTGTATCAATCATTGTCTTGTATCAATTGCTTTTCTCAATGTCATGGCTTCTTTTCTATAATTATATGCAAAACAGAGATATCCTAGAATTTTAATATGCATTTCTAAATTTGCTTCAGAGAGATATTTTCTGGTAAAGTGATTTTTAATAATTAATTATCAGCCCTTTTATATAATAAACATGTATTAAGGTTTAAACATCTTATAATGTTTAATGCATTTTAACATTTCAACTAGAAAGAAATTTGGCATTTAATCATCATGGCTTTAATAAGGTATCTTTCATAATTCTCATTCGAATGCTTAATAATTGGAATGTCTATGATTTGGAGATCAGAAAACTAACTGTGACTGGGAACATTGAATTTATCCAATAAGTTTTATATTAACCTTATGGGTTGAAAGGATTGGAGTTTGAAAAATCCAGATACAGGTTTTATCATTTCCAAAGACGATGTCGTCAGATGAGAAAGAGCCGGGAGTTAACAGTGTAAATTTTGTCCGACAGAGATCTAAAAAACAGAAAATTTGGATTTTATTTGAAAAACTGATAGAAATGTCATATTGTCAGAATTTCACTATTAAACTCTTCCTGCCGGATGACGGACCCCGTCCACATGGTGGGGAAACATTTAATGCCGAATGATGGATCAAATCCGTCATGCGGTAAAGTTAACCCCAGATGGCGGCAACAGGCTTTCAGAGCGAGCACATGTGCTGCAGGGAATCTCAATCCACCTCCCTGCCATTCCGTGTTCTGTGTGAAGTACAGGGAGTGGGATCACTGCTGATCTGCTTCCCCCTGTAAAAAAAATAAGGTTAGTTTAAAATCCCACCCCCCTTTACCCATTTTAAATAAAAAATGAACCACTTCCCTGCCAATTGATCACTGACTACAGTGATCAATTGGCAGGGACTACATTTTACTGTGATCTGATTTATTATTTTTTTTTTACCCTGGGTTAATATTATTTTATTAATTAATTTAAACATATTAATTTTATATATTTTTCTAGCTGGGGGGTTGGATGTTAGGGGGGAATTGGAGAATTTGGTGTTAGGCTAGCAAGGGGTTAATGTTAAAAAAGTTTTTAAAAAAGTTTTAAAAAAATCCCACCCACCTTTACCTAGTCCTCATAAAAATTAACCTATTCCCTGCCAGTTGTTCACTACCTACAGTGATCAAAATACAGATCACAGTATTGTACTGTGATCTGATTTTTTTTTTTTTAACCCCTCAGGGTTAATTAATTTTTTTTTTTACCCTTAATTTATTTACTTAATTAAAGTTAAAGAAGTTATGGGCAATTGGGGAATTTATGGTTAGTGCTGCTTACAGCTGGTTAGGGGTTAACGGTAAAAAAAAAGTTTATAAAAATGTTAAATCTGTAAAAAAAAAGTTTTAAGAAAGTTTAGGAAAGTTTAAAAAAATTAATAAACAAACAAAAGTTTAAAAACTAGTTTTAAAAAGTAAAAAAAGTTAAAAAAAGTAAAAAAAAATACATTTAAAAATGCTCATTACCAATACACCATGAACAAACTAGAAAAAAAATTATCCGACGCTAAGGTTCAAAATATGCCTTTTGAATTACCACGGGGTGTATGCTTTAATAAATAGTATGTGTTTGTGGGAAAGTTTGAATAATCAACCAGCTAAACCACTCCAAAATGGAACATGGACACAGAGTAAAACTTTAAAGTTAGAAAAAAATCTGAGGGGCTGAATCTCAAATGTGCCCCTTCAACATATACCTGGCTAAGGTGCATACGGGGGTATTGCTATACTCAGACGACATAGCTGAGAAACATATGAATCTCACAGTCATAGCACACATAAGGTTTGCAAAATATACTGTGCAGACTCACTTTGTGTGTCGAAAAGGCAGAAAAATGCTTATTACCACTACACTTGGTACAAGCTAGCAGAAAAATGATCCCACGCTAAGGTTCAAAATATGCCTTTTGACATGGGATGTCTTCTTTAAGAAATGGTATGCCTTTATGGTGTAGTTGTAATATGTAGCCTGCTCAAGTGGGACACGGACGCATCAAAACCCTCCATTGAAAAATTCACACGTTAAAACCTGAACTTGTTACGTCTCTTTTACAGCACTGTAACTTCATAAAATTGTTTCTAGGTCATACATTGGGCAAATTGTTTTACTCAGAAGATGTAACTGAGCATAATTTGGGTATTTTATGACAGTGGTACATATTAAGTGTATGAAATACAAAAATGCAACATATATGGGGGGGCGGAGCATGGCCGCTGAACAGATCAGACACATTTTGTCTGAGCTCCAGGATCTGAGCCAGAGAATCTGAACCAACTCTGTGCCACGAACAGCCACTGACCCAAACCTGCAACAAAACTACCCACAAGATGGGGACTCACAAGATGATACCACTCATACAACGGCAAGGAACCGGAGTAACCCGACCAAGACCTGGCGCCTACACAAACTTGAGCTGGGGAGAGACAGCCGCTCCCCCCGGGTCTCTGAATGGCGTCCAGCGGACCCCGCTCCCCTCTGGACGGGTGGAGGTTATCCGGTCCCCACAGGCGACCACAAATGCTAGACGGAATGCTCCAAAATGGCGGACAGCCTGCAACAACGTGGATAAAAGAAGATGGACTCACCAAGCCCGCCAAACAGAAGAGCAGGCTGACATATCACACGAGCCCTCATGGACCAGCAGCCCATCACAAGCAGAAACAAACACCGGCAAGTACCCGCAAACCGCAAAACAAAAGGTGGGAAACAAATAAAGTTTCCCGGGCATCAGCAGCGTATGAACAACGCAAGCTTCTCACACAAGCCCGCCCAGACCACAACTGCCCAGAAGCCTAGACCACGAACAGCAACCCCAGAAACGGCGGACTCGACGGCACAGGAGGAAACACCACATCAAGAAGCACAACAGACCCTAAATGCGAAGGACCGCGGCCTACAAAGGAATTTCTCACATTACGAGCTGCAGCAGCAGGCCTCCAGAAGTGCCCAAGGTTGTGGCACTTCTGGAGGCCTGAAGCGTAACTAGACTCTGATGTCGGGTCTCCCACGCCCCTAAGAGCCCACTACCAAGACTAGGCACCGGATAAGAATGAATGCTGTTCCTGGACTCTATGACGGATGCTAAAACACTGATCCAGTCTGTAACGGCACCCCCAGGCATAAAAGGGTTAAACCGCCGTTTAGTAGATCTTCCCTTCTAGAGACACAGGCACAGCTACTGCAGAACACAAATCCGCCGAACAGGAAACCATATGAATGCCGTAAACAGCCAAATAGGAAAAACCATACAAATAGGTTTACACTCCTAGCAGTCATACTGGAACAGCATTCAATAAATCCCCCCAAGAACGAGACAAGGCTCTGTTTTGAGGGTCAAGCAGTGAACAGTCAGAGCTGTGGGTTTATTGTTCTTATATACACATTAGTACCACCCACAGGGTTTTGGAAAACAACCAATAAACACATACAATACACTCAGACACTGCCACACAAAATCCTCCCCTGTGCCTGTGATACAATTACCTTACACAATGGGTAATGTAATTATCACCGGCAGAGAAATACAGTTTTTCCACATTATTCATAACTTGAAAACTTACATTTTCAGAATCAGCATACTCCAAATACAAACATGTCAAAATCATCCAAATTTGTCCATTGGTTCAAAAGATAGATCAAAGTCCTTTGTGACCACAGGAAGCATGGCTTTTCTGCCCAAAACCAGTTCCACAGAGTCTTCTATCCTGGAGATAATTGGGAAGTAATCCAATTATCTCCAAGGACAGAGGCAAAACTCCATTGAACACATGGCAGCAAAAGACAATAAAACACATAAAAACATATAACTGTGCAGCCATTGCACAAAACAGGTACATTCAACATATCCCCAGATAGCTCAGATCTGAGCGCACATTATTACTGAATGGCGCTCAGAGCACACACATACAGTTCAATTGCCATGGAGCCAAAGTCTTTCCCATAGTCTTTCATTATACGAATGGGCTTCATGGCATAGCTATCTGGGGTATCACCGCTCAAACAGGGCCAGCACCGAATGACCTGGCTTTCGTGTCTTCGCAGGGGAAAATCAAGCGTCTCAACATGGAGCCATAGTCTAAAGGCAGCAGGCGGGCAACCAGGCTCCTCCAATGCACAGTCCACCGAAACAAATGGACACACACTAGGACATACATGGCAGCCATCCAGCACAAATAGAAGACAGAGCAACACATACATGCAACACAGGTCACATTCAAGACAGACACACACCGCAGAAGACATCTACAATACACACAAGCCGTGACAAACCAACCCAACATCCACTGAACAGACCCATCCAGGGAAAGGAAGGCAGCCAACCCCACAGACCTCCACTCCATGGTGGTTCCCGAGGCAGACCAAACCAAAGTTGTACAATTCTGCCCAAACGACAGACTAGAGACCACACACTCAGATGACCACAGCTTGTACATCTTTAACTATAAGTCGCACAAAAGTCTGAGAAACAAGCGTAACCCTAAGCCATGCATGTATTATGCTCCAATAGGTCAACATGAAAATCATTGCAATGAATAGAGTGGGAGCACTACATGCGTAAATACCTAACCATTAAGCCTGTACTTACAAGACATCTTATGTCCTCTAATCCAAATGCCAGCAGTGTCAATAGAACGTAATGCAGACTTTACACTAGTTTATAGCTGACACAGAGGTTCCACTTGTGATTATCATACTTTACAATATAAAATGTGCACTGTTATTCTATGCCTAATGCATGTTCATAAATGGTCAAGCAACTGCTGTTGGGGCATTGCATTCTTATTTGTTTTTCTGCAAGCACAAACATTTTTTTTTTTTTTTTTAATGCAACATATATGTAAAATTTTAAAAATTTTCTCCCCCTCACCACAAGCATTGACATAAATTGGTGAAAAAATGGTGACAGGTTAAGGCACAATATACACTATATAAGTGTTAAGACACCTCCAGTGTCTTTAAGCCAAACCGCCGTTTAGTAGACCTTCCCCGGCTGCAGTACAGTCCCCGTTCGCTTAATCTATATCACACGAACCAAATGCAGGGAAAGCGGCAATCTCCCGATCGAAATCCGTGAACGGCTCCAAACTCCCGAACGGTAATACACAAACTGCTGGTAACCGTCGAACAGCAATATTCCCCAAGCGGCTTTCGTTCCATCCAGCAGTCTCTAAACGTGAAGAAGAAATCCCCCCAATAACGAGACAGAAGCTCCGCATTGAGGGTCAAACAGAATCTGGCTTTACTGTGGGCTACCTGCCCGTATTTATGCAGGTCTCCCACTTGGTGGACACTCCCCTAGGGGACCAAATGGGAGACTTAAATTACAGACAGATCTGGGGACATCCCAGACACACAGTCACAGATTTTACCCACAGTGCATTATGATTCCCTCCCCTCTGCCCTGGAGTTAATTACCAAGTAACTCAATTAACTCCAGGACAAAGCCAGTCGCCATCTTAGACATAAAATAATAAAAGACATAAAAATACATAACTACATAAAAACCGAACATTTCCCATTCGTATTACATGTCCCCAGATAGCCTGGATCTGAGTGCATATTATTAGCGAATAGCGCTCAGATCCCACACACATAGTTCAATCGCCATGGAGTCAAAGTTCTTACAGTCTTTCGGTATACGAATGACTCCATGGGAAGGCTATCTGGGTTAAGTCTTTTGTATGCTCTCAATCTCCCGAACGGCCGGTGTTCGCATGCTTTCGTGGAGGCAGCCAGGCGTTCCCTTGTTTCAGCGGTGTTCGGCAGAAAAAGTGTCCGTTTTCAGTTCCATAGAAATAGAGCCAAACACCGCTGGGCGTTCGCATGATTTAAAATGGCCGCTGCCTCGTGGTCGACATACGAACGACGACCACCCTGAATTCGGTTTAATTGAGAAGTGTCTGCGGTTAACCACACGTTCTAATTGGGATCACTTCGTTAACCAGCAGCACACTCCTCACTTGGGTGGCCATTCATTCGGCAGGTTTGTTCAGGAAAAAGAGTCATTCGAATGGCTGGGCTATAGAAACCAGCCATTCATACGAACGGGGGACAAACAGACGAACGTAGTAAAAATCCAAGCAGACAGATGGTTCTGTCACACGGCTCCCTCCTTGTGGGACACTCCGGCAGACCCGGCTTGACCCTGTGGCGGGTCAACTTGGGGATGACCGGACTACGAGGTGAGGGAAACGTCTGTTTGTCGCGACAACCCATCTGCATTCCCGTTCAGCTTACCGGGTCTGGTAAAATTGAAGGGCTGTAGTGCCAAGCTCCATCTCAGCAGTCTCCCATTGTCTCCTGAGACCCGGTTAAGCCAAACGAGTGGGTTGTGATCAGTCACAAGGGAAAACTCTTGCCCATACAAATAGGGGCTTAACTTTTTCAATGCCCAGACCAAGGCCAAGCACTCCTTCTCCACTGCCGCATAACTCACTTCTCTGGGTAACAACTTTCTGCTGAGATATGCGACAGGGTGCTCTCCTCCATCTTCCCCGACTTGGCTCAGCACAGCCCCCAGTCCATACATGGAAGCATCTGCATGGACGAGAAAGCGTTTGTTAGGGACTGGGGCTGCCAAGACAGGGGCATTCACAAGAGCCTGCTTCAGTGCCTGGAACGCAGCTTCACAAGCCGGAGACCACAGGACCTGCTTAGGCAAGTTTTTCTTGGTCAGGTCTGTCAGGGGCTTAGCAATAGCGCTGTAGTCAGGGACAAAACATCTATAGTACCCTGCCGTCCCCAAGAAGGCCAATACCTGGATCTTAGTAGTAGGTGTGGGCCAGTTAGCCACTGCCTCTACCTTGGCTGGCTCTGGTCTCTGGTTCCCACACCCCACTCTGTGACCCAGGTACTGTACTTTAGCCATACCTAGATGGCACTTTTCTGGCTTCAATGTCAGGCCAGCGGCCCGAATTTTATCCAGCACTACCCCTACATGTACCAGGTGTTCCTCCCAGGACCCACTGTAGATCGCAATGTCGTCCAAGTATGCACAGGCAAATTCTTGGAAGCCATACAGGAGTCTATCCACCATCCGTTGGAAGGTAGCCGGTGCATTTTTCATCCCAAAAGGCATGACCTTAAATTGGTACAGGCCAAATGGGGTGACAAATGCCGACTTGGGGATAGCATCCTCGGCCAGGGGGATCTGCCAGTAGCCCTTACACAGGTCTATGGTGGTCAGATATCGCCCCCTGGCAATACGATCCAGTAATTCGTCTACCCGGGGCATTGGGTAGGCGTCAGTGGTGGTCCGCTCGTTGAGTCGCCTGTAGTCCACACAGAACCGGGTGGTCCCATCTTTCTTGGGCACCAGGACTACAGGCGAGGCCCAAGGGCTGTCGGAGTGCTCGATAACCCCAAGCTGGGTCATCTCCTGTATCTCCTTCCGCATTCCTTCACGGACTGCTTCAGGGATACGATAGGGGGGCTGTCGTAACGGGGTCTGTCCAGGGGTCTCTACCTTATGCACAGCTAGGGTGGTATAACCTGGTTCCTGGGAGAACGTCGCCTGCTTCTCCCATAACAACTGTTGCGCCTGTACCCTTTCTGTGGGGTTCAACTGGTCCCCTAGCTGTACCAAGGTAGTAAGGTCAGTCTGGGAATCCCTTTCTAATAGATCGGGAAGGGGTAAATTCTCAGAATCATCTGCAGCTGGGGCACATACTGCTGCAATATTCTCAGGTCTCTCCTGGTACTCTTTCAGCATGTTCACATGAAAGGACCGCTGGATCCTTTCATCTGCACAGCTGGCTATCAAGTAAGTAGTGTCGCAGATCTGCACCACTACCTTGTACGGGCCCTGCCAAGATGCTTGCATCTTGTTGGCCTTCACGGGTTTGAGCACCAATACCTTTTGCCCAACCTGGAAGACCCGCTGTCGGGCACCCTGATCGTACCATCTTTTCTGTCTCCCCTGGGCCGCCTGGAGATTCTCCCTTACCATCAGGGATAGTTTCTCCATGCGGTCCCGGAGTTCCAGAA